TCCAAGGAGTGGGATAGCTGGATCGTATGGTACTTGTATTTCTAGCTTTTTAAGGAAGAGCCAAATCAATTTCCAAAGTGGTTGTACCATTTTACATTCCCACCAACAGTGTAGAAGCGTTCCAGTCTCTCCACAACCTCTCCAGCATTTATTATTTTGTGTTTTTTGGATTAATGCTAGTCTTGAGTAGCCAAGTTCTTAACCACTGCGCCACCAGGGCTCCCATATGACCATTATGCAACTCCAATTTCAGGAGCCTACTGATATTTACTAAAAGAAGTTAGCATTGCTGAATGGACAAATTGGCTTGTGTCAGTTTGCAAACAGGAAGGTATATTAATAATGTCTCTTTCGTTTGTCAATGAACGGAGATTGGACTCAAACTAAAATAGGGTAAAAAAATTAATTTATTGACTTATATAACTGGGAATTTCAGGGCTTTAGGCAGAGTTCAATCTGGGGCTTCAAATAATATCAGCTCTCTTTTCATGAAGGAGCCCTGGTGGTGCACGAGTTAAGTGCTTGGCTGCTAACCGAAAGGTTGGTAGTTTGAACCCACCAGCCCTCTGCAGGAAGGAGAAAGACGTAGTAGCCTGCTTCCGTAAAGATCACAGCCTTGGAAACCCCATGGAGCAGTTCTGTTCTGTTCTATATGGTCACTATGAGTCGGGACTGACCGCAGCAATGGGGTTGGTTTTGGTTACCCTTTTCATGTGGTGGACAAGATGGCCACTCACAGACACAGATTTATGTGCTGCCAGCTTAGTACACACAGCAGAAACAAGTCAGGAATCCTGAGAGCAGGAGAATGAAGCGCCTCAGGATTGACTAGGTTTGTGTTCCTGGCCTTCCCTGAACCAGTCAAGAGAACTCTCGTGATATATTTGAACCTAATTGCTGTCTCAAAAGGAAAACCGGAACAAAACTTGATTGTAAGTTTTAGGATTGAGAGGAATGGGCATTCTGATTGTTCAGACCATAGACACATGCTCACTTCTCTTGTCGGGGTAAGCGCGTAAACCCCGCACAAACCACCGTCAGTGAGTTGCCTGCGGGAAAGAAAGGTTCGGTTAGCCAGAAGATGGAAGGAGAATGGGGAAGGGGTGCTGGACATACAAAAACAACAGACGCCTTTGACGATAGCAT